ACAAATACCCTCCACAATATAAGTAGTGACCTTTTTCTGATCACAATCAATGACGACTCGATGTGCCGTCAACCAATCCATACCGAGGATAACATCGAACTCCGACATGTCCATGACCCTGAGGTCTACGGTGAGTAGAATCCATGAGATCTCTAACTCACAACCTTGACATATCTGATCAGCTCTCACCCTAGCTTCGAGGGGAGAACTTACATGCAATGGCTCTTCCAAGGTTTCAACCTGTAAACCCAAATCTTTCACACGAGATGTAGCAATAAATGAATGTGATTCACCATAATCAAATAATACTCGAGCCCATAAGTAAGAAAGTATATAATCGATTGATTCACCAACTCAGTCTGTGGCACCATGACATAAACACGCCCCTGGGTTCCCGAAGTACCAGCTTGTGAGCCTTGTCCTCGGCCTCGACCCATGCCCTGGCCTATCTGGTCTGCTTGCGGAGTCCCCGCACGTGAAGTAGTAGGACCTTGTGTAGCCCCCTAAAATTGATACTAGCTTCCCTGACCCATGGTGGGGTAGTGAGGAGCAAAGTATGTCTGTGGCTGCCCCACTGACGACTGTGACTGAGATAAGCCATGGCCTTGGGATCTCTACCTCTGGAAACAATCCTGCTTCATATGACCAGGATGGTGGCAGTGGAAACATGTCTTCTGCCCTGCCTGATAGGTAGTTCTATAATTTCTCCCGCCTTAAGAGGATCGACCTTGGCCTTGGCCTTGGCCTTGGTGACCACGACCCTGCCCCTGTTGTCCTTGGGGAGTAAAGGTCCTCTGCCTCTTCCCTGAGCTAGAAGAAGAGGATTGTCCGTCTTTCTTCTTGTCTTTAACACCTGACTCCTGGATGTTCCGTGTGTCCTCCACATCTCTCTCAATGGTCATAACTGTCGTGACCATCGAATCAAAGTCTTGCAGGAGAAAACCCATAATTTTACCCCCGATGGACAATTTCAGATCATCCTCGAACTTTCTCACCTTGGCCATGTCTGTGGCCATATAATCATCGACAAAACGGGCTAATTCGGTGAACTTAGTCATGTACTCCATCACCGTCATCATGCCTTGTCTCAAATCCAAGAACTCCCGAGCCTTTGTATGTCTAGCAGCCGCTGAGAAGTATTTGCCCATGAAAAGCTCCTTGAACTCAGCCCATGTCATTACTTCCAAATTCTTTGAGGTCTTAACTCAATCCCACCACACTTGGGATTTTGCCTCTAGCTGAAAAGTAGCTAGTGTTATCTTTATGGCATCGGAGGTGATCTCCATAGCCCTTAAGATCTTATCCACCTGTCGGAACCAATGGTCAGCCACCATTGGATCTGCCCCTCCCATAAAGATCAGAGGCTGATGTGCCTTAAACTTCTGGAGGTTACTCGTGCCTCCTTGACCCACATTTGTACTCGTTTGTGCAATATTAGTAGTTGTAGCACTAGCTTGTGCAATCTTAGCAGCCGCCGCACCAATAGCCTCCACAAAGGCTTGTTGGTCAAAGGCCGGTGGTGGTTGGTTGTTTCATCCACCGCCTCGGCGTCCTCTTCCTCGATTTGCCATCTACACACATGTCAAATAGCAATCAAACACTCATATAGTATCTCAAGATAGGGAATCAAGTTTAAAACTTGGAGATTTTTCTCCTTGTCTCACTAGTAGTGTGTATACCCCATACTAGTAGACTTTTCCCGCATGAACTACACCGTTCATCCCTTTTTTCGAAATCCAAGGTTATATTTTTCTAACTCTAGTGTTTCCCTTTTTCATATACATTTGACCATGTATATATTTCACATAGCATGTAGCACACAACATGTAGCAATTAAACACATAACATGAATGCAATGGTCTAGACCCAATGCCCATCAAGTCTTAGGTAATTTATATACCTAGGCTATGATACCAAGCTGTGATACCCCTAAAATCGGGAGTCTTGTGTTAACCCGTTGATCACCCATCAACCCGCAAAAATAACCATGAATGCCGTATGACCTGACACCACAGCTCAATTATAAAAAAAAAGTTTGGACAGGGTCTCCCTAGGACCGGAAACTCCTAATTGCTTAATCTGTGTACATCATAGTCACTAGACTCATCCAAGATCTAACACATCACAATTTATACTCCATTATGGTCCATTGACATCATTTGAATGAAGGAATGCATAGCCCAAAAGCATGGCAAAACATTCTTAAAATTTTAGATTTTTGGAAAACCTTCTGGAAGGTTTTACTCACTAGAAAAGTTCTTCTGGAAGGTTTTCATCGACCTTTCGGAAGGTTTTTCCTATTGGATAACAATTTACATTAACCTTTCGGAAGGTTTTCTTCAACCTTCTAGAAGGTTTTGTCTGGATAAAAATTTACATTAATCTTCCAGAGGGTTTTTATAGACCTTCCGGAAGATTTTGTTTGTTTTTCTACAAATCCTTCCTTCTTCATTTCCAACCCATTCCAATACTTATTCTTCCCATCCAAAACATACTTAACAATGTTTTTCACATAAAAGTGAATATATATAAGGTCTATTACAAACCATTCTATACATTTACATGTCAAATGAGATTTAACACAAGTTTTACAAAAACTTATTTTCAAAAGCCACAACCTGGCTTTTCTTCAACGTTGAGGCCCCGAACGCGAGTCCTCCGTCGGTACGAACCCCGCACCTGAAATGTGTTCCCGTATAGGGTGAGCCAACGTCTAATAGAATACTTCCTATAGAGGCTACTCCACAACCTAAGTGCATATGAATGTACACATGCAACAATCCACAATTATATAACCATGTAATCATTCCAATCAAGAATATAGGTATTCCATGTTGGAATTTACCATGCCATATCATGAATGAAATGAGATTCATTCCCGCATTTTAACTCCGAGCCTTTTCCGGCTGCACAACACATGCAAATGCCAATGTATATAAAACCGAGCCCTTCTAACTCCCGCCATTTATATTATCCTCTAAACGACTATTTAAAATCTCCGGATCTTTATTTGGGGTGGATATTTATGGACTTACACCAACAGCACCGATCGACATGAAATTCATGGACTTCCACCAATGGTTTCGCGTACAACTACACACTTCATGGGCTCATATACAAACGAGGGAGTCGGATCTTCAGTTGAACTTTACCGACCCCACTCATCAATCACCAAATATGGTATTTGATTCAACCATGCACCCACACTCCCACACTCATGCTTATGGATGTGTTTCCCCTGTGCACATGCAATGTAGTGTACCATTGCAATATCCATGTTATGCTATACATGTAATGAGTGTCAATTGAGCAATTTAATCACATATCTCACATATGTCATGACAATCTATAGCAATTGCATATAATTACCATAAATCAATATGATGCTAATATATATTAACAATATATAGCAATTCATTCATCCTCAACAAATTTCACAACCTTGTTATATATAATCCATACTATAACAACTTCATTTCCACTTAGGCAAGTAGCAAAATACCTTAAGGCACAATTCATGTTATCACACAAGAATTTTCACCTCATTAACAAGGCATAATATAAAATATGTAGCATGCCAAACATATTAAGTTCCAAGAAAATCACACAAAAAATTTTCTATGCCAACATAACTAGGAATTGGTCTAGGCCAAATTCCATACCCATTTTTCTCATTTCCATAACCATAGTCAAGTGACCTAGGTTATTCTATATCCTTATCCCATTCATAATACGTCTTAGGTAAGAAAGTAAATCAAAGTAGGAGAAACCGTACCTCTTGGAGCGTAAAATGAAGGGAGAAAACCTTAAGAACAACTCCCAAGCCCCAAACCTTTGATTTTTCTAAAATTCTCCTCCTAGATCTTCAGTGAAATTCTTCATTTTTGGTACGTACGCGTAGCCCTCATCGCGTAGACCAACTTTAATTCTTGGTTGAAGCAATTCCAACTGACGAAACTCCTTGAATCGGAGAAAGAAACGTAGAAAATGAATTTCCTCTATTTTATCTCTTCAATGTCTGAACTCAGCCCGCCAAAGGTGAGAAAATATCTGATTTTTCAGATATTAACCCCTATTTATACTTTTTAATTGCGCGGTCCACATTGTCCAACACGTTTAGTACTTTCGGGTCTGTTTTTTTAACCGAAATGACTTAATTAAATTTCGGTTTCAGTTCAAATTGATTTTATTTGAACTTTTATTCAATTATAAGAAAATTTTATAATTTTCATTTTTGGGGACATTCGTGAGATCATTCGTCACCCAATTATTTCATGAAACGTGTAAAATCTGGCTATCTCGAAATTTGACGAAAATTGACAGGACAACTTGATTTCGCGATACGAATCCAACGGTGAGGTCCGTTACGTCATCCGAGCTCTAGAAAAATATGGATTTTAAACCCGCAATATAGTGACAAATTATCATATTACCCTTTTTTTGAAAAAGTTTAAATTTTTCCCGAGTTTTACACCCCTTGTTTGATTTTTTAGTTTTATTCCAATAGATAGTATAATTATATACTAATTATAATTTTTTAAGAAAAAGTTGAATTTTTATTTTTTATTTTATTTTAATAAATGATAGAATAAAATATGAATTTTGATTATAAAATTTAAAATATTTTATATTCTATTTTTAATTGAAATATTTTTGATCTAAATATAACATATTAAATTTAAGAAAGTCTAAGTATTATATGCATACAAACTTCAAGACGGTCTAGGTATAATTTATTAATGAATAAATTTATAACAGAGGTCTAAGTGATACGTATGTACAAAACTTACGGGATCTATATGTAGTATTTCAAATGTAAAGGAATCAAAGTGATTAAATAATAAACTTATGTAATTCTCCCAAACATTTATTTGTCACAATTGGCGGCTTGATCATTCCATGCATCGGACGGCTGAAATTTAACACGGACTTCAAACCATTTATATCCCGATTTGCATAAAACCCTAATGTCCCAAATTCCTACAATCCCTATATATAATTTCGCACACCGCTCGTCTCCCTCTCGCACACTGCCTCTGCTTTTGATATTTTCATCTTAGGTGTTTGTCTCTGTCTCTCTCCCTCTAGTGTTGAAGGTCGCCTCTTTCTCTCTCTTCAGCTAACACCATGTCGGACGAAGAGCACCACTTCGAGTCGAAGGCCGACGCCGGAGCTTCCAAGACCTTTCCACAGCAGGCTGGTACTATCCGCAAGAATGGTTACATTGTCATCAAAGCCAGAGCTTGCAAGGTACTGTCTCTTCTTTCCTTTTTCAATCTGATTTTTAATAGGCATGCTTAACTAAGTAGATCTGATTTGTTGGCTATTTTGCTGTATGAATTATGATGCCAGGGGCTTTTATTTATTCTTCGATTATACGTGATTGGATCTTCAAAGTTTGATATATCTGATGTTGTGCTTTATTTCTCTCTCGCTGGATAGAAAATATGTTTTTTATTTAATTTTTACGATTTTTTTTTTTTTGCTAATTTACCAGTGTGTGAGCTGTGGGATGCTATGTCAGTTACTTTTTTCTGTAATTTTTTTTTTCAAATTTAGGATCTTGGAGTGCCTAAAGTTCTTATTTTGTTAGGTATATGTTTTGACTTTAGTTATGATCTACGTTTCGATATCTATTGTAATTACAATGTTTGATTTTTTTTTTCTTATTGATAAGCTAATTGTTGGCTTGGTTGTCCGAGGTTGGGAGTTAAACTATACTGTGAATAACCACAAGAAATTTACCTGATATTTTTCATGAAGATATATATATCAACTGTACATTCTGTAGGAAGTCCCATAACTCCAATGAAGAAATTATGCGTTGTCAACGTTAAATTATACATACAATCACAACCAGGATTTTGTTAATATTCTCCCTTTTTATATGTATGATATAACAACTAGCTATGAATCCTTTGCTTGTCTATTTCTTATCAATGTTAACAGAATGTATTTCTTGGTTTAATGTTTGGATTAAAGATAATCTATGTGGCAAGAGTGAGGTTATTAAATCCCGTGGATGGTTGGACTCTGGACTGTTTTGCACATTGCATAGTTTTGCCAAACATTTATCTAATAAGTCATTTTCTTAGCTATTGAGGCTTAAAACTATGAGCCCGTATGATAATCCTTTTAACTTCTTTGATCCTTTCGTATCTTCTAGTGCATGTAATCTTTCTTCTACTTGTGCAAACAAGATGCCTCTTAGTCTTGGTTTCCTAGTTGTATCATCATCTCTGTTAAGCTGCTAAATGTGTGTCTATTACAGGTTGTGGAGGTCTCAACTTCCAAGACTGGCAAGCACGGTCATGCCAAATGTCACTTTGTTGGAATTGATATCTTCAATGGAAAGAAGCTCGAAGATATTGTTCCCTCTTCCCACAACTGTGATGTATGGACTTCTATTTTCATGAGCAAGTTTTTTTTTTGTGTCAGCATTTATTCTTTTTCCTTGTCAATAATTGTTTTGTGTCCCTGAAATACAGGTTCCCCATGTCAACCGTACTGACTACCAGCTGATTGATATATCTGAGGATGGATTTGTATGTTATACTTGCCTTTTCTCTTGTTGATTGCTCCTTTCCCTTTGGTGGATATAGTCTAATACTCTGAAAATGTTGTAGGTGAGCCTGCTGACTGACAATGGCAATACCAAGGATGACCTGAAGCTTCCAACCGATGAAAGTCTGCTTACACAGGTTAGTGAATATGATTTTTATATATCTGATTACATACACATATTGGCAGACCACGGCTTCAAATTCTATATTGGCCTTGAGCAGTATTTTGGGGTCAAGGCATTTATTAGGATCCAACTTTTGTGTTGCTTACACATGACTTTCTTTTTACAAAAATCTGTAATTTTGCCATTAGAAAAGCATGCCAACTGCTATTTTCTATGCATTAATCCTTGCTCTCGTGTGGCCGAGTAGTTGTCACACCAGTTAGGCAGTTACTATGATTTCAGCATCTATTGGTTCTCGTTTGCATGGTTCAAGATTGCAATATCAACCATTCACTAGGAGGGTATTGAGATGCATGGGTCGTGGAGTTGGGACACGATGTTGGGTGATGCACACGAAATACTAGTTTGAAGAAGATGGACTTGAAGAGAGATTTAAGTCATATTGAGGCATCATGACAACTATGACTTGCCCAATTCAATCGAGTTGTATGCAATTCAGCCATGAGTCAAGGACTCAAGTGAGCTTTGTGCTTTATATGGTGACAAATCGGTTATGGCTTGGCCAAGCTGTATCGATATTCACCAATTTTTTGAACTATGATAATTTGTGGCTCTAGAAAGTTGAAAGCACACAAGATGTGACACCAACTTGTCCCCTTCCAAATTTAATACGTTCGGTGATTACTTCCAATTGTTATTGAGTTTTTACTATATCGATAAAAGTCATTTGTTTTTTTTTCCTGCACCCGATGAATTATATGTTTGGAATGGGTACTTATTCTTAAAGAATTATCAGGTTGAGATTTTCTTCCAGTGCATATTGGGTTTTTCTTGTTACCCCTTCCTTTGGAGAACTTCAGGTTGTCGATTATGCACATTAGATGTGAAATGAAAAGTAGCCTGGTGTTACATTTTGGTGGAAGAGTGTTAAGATGGACTTGTGAGTACACTATAGTCGAGGTTAAACACATTGTTCAGGATACATGGACTTGTATTTGATCATGCTAGTCAAACCAATAGCTTGCTTCATCAGGGATTAAGCGGGGAGATTGTTTTTGGTGATCAGTTTGGATTTGAAAGCGTAGGGCACCACCACATGGTGTCTTGTTGCAAATTCTTGTATTTAAAGTGTAAACCGAATATTTAAAGCAAACATTTTGTTATTTATGTAATACTAACAATAATTCACAAATATATGCAGATCAAGGATGGATTTGCCGAGGGAAAAGACCTGGTTGTGAGTGTTATGTCTGCCATGGGGGAGGAGCAGATCTGTGCCCTCAAGGATATTGGTCCAAAGTAAATTTATTCTGTTTCAGACAACGCGCAAGGCCTCAAAATTTCGAATGAGACGTTAAATTATGAAGGTGTTTTATATGTCAAGGATCCAAATTATGAAGGTGTTTTATATGTCAAGGATCCGGGGGGGTCACCATTCGAGAAACTTTTCTCCAAATTGATTCTTGGTGCGATATTGCCTCCCTCCTTGTGGAATGTTTTTTTCTTTTGATAATTTTGTTCTCTTGATTTACTCGTGGGCATGATCTTGTTAAATGTGGTTGAAGTTAATTCCCTGTGAATTGTATACACTTGTGCACATTTGGCTGCTGCGTTGTTGCAATTTTTTACTTCTTATAACCTAATGAATTGGTTCGATTATAGATCGTTTTGCAACCATTCCTTCTGCCTTGAGAAATGTGAGTGTTCAGCCCACCCAGTCTTCTGGTATGTTGCCCTTAATGTTCATGCTCAGGTATGTCCCTTAAAAGTGTTCATGGTGGCCTGTATGTTTCATTTATTGATTGGTCTTTTTATTATTTTTTTTTTTTTTTTATTTTTTGGGTTAAGGGAGGGACGATTAGTAGATAGTAACTCCTTTCTAGGCATGATTATGACGGTTCTACATTGGAATACTCAGTTTGAACTATAACTATTAATTCAAAACGACAATCCGGCATTACAGTATCACTAAAATTAAGTAGCACATTGTGCTATTTCCGTAGATAGAAGGGACGGTGGTCATTTGGTAAACTGTTAGCCCTGGTATCATCTATTTACTAACCAATAAATAATAGAACAGAAAATATTATGATGTATTAAGCTTGTCCATTTATGTTTTCCAATGGTTTCACCACGTACCAGCTCCCAACTTGAGGACAGCTGTTATGCCGAAAATAGCAGTCATCCCAATTGATTATTAAAATTCAGCCTCAATAATTGAAGTAGCCAATGGGTTATAACATGTCATGTCTTTAAGTCGTGTCGATTTGATATTTATTTAATTTATATTTAATTTATTTATTATTGTGTATAATTAAACCAAGTTGTATAAATTTTGTGTTTAATGGGATTCATTTCATGTTTAATCAAATTCATATTTATATTTATTTATTAATATCGAGTCGAGTTGATGAATGATGTTGAGAATTAACAACCCTATCTAAGCTTTTTGAGTACGGCATTAAGCTCTACTGGAGGACGGCCATAAACTCCAAAAACATCAGTATTCAATCCAGTTCACATAGGATTGCAAGAGACGTGAGAAATAGTGCCAGCTTAACATGACATTTACAGAAGGCTAATGGTTCACAATTATACTAATTTATAGTGATGTAAAAACCGACAGAAAGTACACAGAAAGGCCGTATTGTAATATTTTGGATACATTAAGTATAATGTGAAAAATTTAATTTTTGAGAATATAAAATAAAAATTTAAAATATTTTAAGATACAAAATAAATTTACCATAAAAAAATATATAAATTATAAAAATATCGGGCATCATATGGATTTTAACCCGCTAACAACAACAATAATAATTATTATTATTATTATCCGGCATGGTCTTAGACTACGTCAACTCTGAGAGATAATAATCAGTACAACAGTGATATAGTGTCAGAATTGATGACATTGTATAATTAACTAATTTTAAATGGATAAAGTGAATCTTACTTGTGTAATTATTAATTTAAATAGAAGAAGCATGAATAATTATGTGCTTATATGGTCGGTAGTTATTGAATTATGTAGGGTTTATTTCATTAATCGACGATATCACCTGATAATACTAAGGTGATATTATAATTATCATGAATATTTTTTTCAGCTCAAGAGACTCATTTGTTGGCAATACAGTGCCATGTGTTGACTTGTAACTGGCAAGCCGTCCACGTCCTGTTAATAAGAATTCTCACGGCTCCTCCAGCGCCAGGCCACCGGTATTGCAACTAAACATATTTTAAAGGCCGACTGCCAGCCATCGTGGCCAGCAGTATCTTAGTTGCCGAATGCCGACTGTTTTAGATTCCAATGGCCAATGGCTTTCCCGTAATTCCAGAAGTCGTTGCGCCCATTATCGTCATTTCACATATCCCCTCATCTCACATTTTATTCTCATTTTAAAATTTAGAAATAATAACACGAAAAACATGACGAACTCCATTTTCACACCTGCTTCGTGGAGAGACAGAGAGAGCGAGACGACTTTCAGAGAGAGAGAGAGAGAGAGGTGTTTCGTAATGGTGGAGAACTTTGATTTGGAGAGTTCTTGAAGTCAAAGTCATCAAAATCAATGGCTGAGAAGGAAGGGCGATGGCCATCATCATCGAGAGTTTCGTCGGCTTCTTTACGCCCAACGATCGCTCTACCACCACGAACTTCAATGGAAAGTCTTTTCACCGGTGGGTTAGGGGTGAGTCCAGGACCGATGACTTTGGTATCCAACTTTTTCTCCGACAACGATCCGGACACGGACTGCCGCTCGTTCTCGCAGCTGCTTGCTGGAGCTATGTCCTCTCCAGTGGCTACTCCAGCTCAGAGACCTAGCTTTCCGGTGGTGTCAGCGGCGGAGGGTTCTTCAATGAAGGATAAGGTCGCTGCTGGTGGTGAGGTGGATTTTCGGTTTAAGTATAGTCGGCCGTCCGGCTTGGTGGTCGCGCAGCCGCCAGTATTTACCGTACCTCCGGGTTTGAGTCCTGCTACGTTGCTCGATTCACCAGGGCTTTTTCCCCCTGGTCAGGTATTCAAGCTTTCATAGCTCTATGTTTCCATGGTTTTTCCTTGGATTTTTCAAGTTAAATAAGAGTATGCATATGAATGTTTTGCTATTAGGTTTTTTTCGACAGGCAGAACATTCGAGAACAGATTTGAGCATGTTTCTTCATTCCAAGGAGGAAAACAGAGTGGAGTTGGAGTTTACATTGCACTGTTCAATTAGTTTGAGAATTTAATTGGGAAAGTAGAATTTTGCCTGCTTTAATAATTATTGGTTTAGTTGATAGTTTCTAGCTTGTCTCGTAAGTGACAATTTTAGGAAATTGAACTACAACCGGGTAGCAGGAGTCCTTTCAAGTGCACTTGGAGTTCTGCTATAATGACTTGTAACTTGTAAGTAGCAAGGCTGAAAGGGGCGGTCATATGATCAAAGTCTTACCAATCCGTTGAATTATCAAAATAATTCGTTCTTGACTTGCCTGGTGCACTGCTCATGTATGGTGAATCATGTATGCGGGATAAGAATATTTCTTATAGGCAGAGGCATTTCTATTTTAGTAGATAGCTTCATATAATTGTAGAGCTTTAAAGGGTAGGCTGTTCATCTGTTTCTATAACCCCAAAATAACAAGTAGGAGAATATGCTGAGCAAGAATTTTTGAAATCTTCCTGGGCACACCTCTTCAGTCATGTTGAGGATTTTTTTTATTTGTTTTATTTTTGTCGTGATATTGAGGGTTTGAATTCAGATATCATGCTTTACTCATTTAGTCCTTGTCTGAAACTTCTTCTTGTTGATACTGTTTTTTTGTAATTTGCATTGGGTGATATACTGCTTCATACAGTTAGATGGAATACATGACTGTAACTCGTTCAAAATGACCATATTATAGTGAGATATACCCTCCCTATTTAGTGAGATCAAGTTCTTCTTGTTGAGGTTGTCACACCTTATCATTCCATGGTCTTCTAATTTAAGGGAAATGCTCAGAACAGCCTTGGTAGCTCAATTTCTTTTGTTCATTTGTAATTATCTGAAAATTTTAACATTTATAGGTTTAGCTGTTGTATATCCCTTAGGTTGAAAGGTAAGTTTTATAAGACAACTATTAGACCGGTAATGTTCTACGGTATAGAATGTGCTCAAATATCACCTTAATCCTTTGTTGGATTGCCATTGAATGCTAGAAAAAGAAATAAAGTAAAGATCTGAATGTTTCTGTTCTTTTGGCTTACAAAAAAATTAAAATTCAGGTAAAGCCAAATTGTAATTGAGTGCTCTTTTCACTAGTTAATGGAATTCTTATATTTAAATTTCCTATTTTGGGGAGTTTCACTTGCATTAATTAGTGATCACTGAATAAGGACATAAGAAAAACCAAAAATCCCTGGGCGCTAGCTAGAATAATAATGATGTTTATGATTCCCTTTGCTTTCATATACATGCTGCATCTTTGTGGTGTTAAGATTTCTCACTGTATCAATAGTTTCCAGATCATCAATCATCAATATCTTTCCCCAGGTTAAATTTCAAGAGAAGAAAGATTCTCTTTGACCATTGAGCAGATTACATAATGACTCACCCCATGAACCCCACTTCTAAAAACTCTTGACGTCAGACTGTCAGCCCTTTGACCCAAGGTGGTAAAGGATTAAGAATGTTGTTCTCCGACTCCTGCTCATAGTCCTATATTGTCTAATGCAAATTGGGATCTCTAGCCATACCTCTATCTGATGCATGATAGGTGCTATTTGGATGTCAAAAAAATTCTGTGTTCCTGATTGTGATTTCTGCAATTTCTATTCAAGATAACTTCATTTCCAACCTATTACGATGAGAAGAGTATCTCCATTTTGTCAGTTGGAAGCTAAGTCATCTTTGAAAAATTTAGTGGAGTTGTTTGATATACATTAGTTGTTGGGATAAACTAGTTATTTGAGATGAACTTGTGATTGTCAGTTGGCAGTCGTTGCCTTAACCTTTGTAGAATGACTCTGTACAAATCATTCCTTTTGAGTTTATCCCTTTATAAACAATATCATACAATCTGATACAATTTAATGTATATTTCTTGAGGAATATAAGTTGTGCCTGTTTGGTGAGCTTGACAGATTGTCATTCTGGATCTTGAGTTGGTTTTGTGTTGCGCATATATGTGACAATTAGAGGGCTTTTTTTGTGATGGTTAATCCCTTAAATAATTCCTACGGATTTACTGTATTTAGTTGTTAAAGTTCCTTACAGAACTGATTCATTTCTCTGCCTTGTCTGAAAAACAGTGAAAGCACCAATACTTCAGTGGTGAGTTGATTTTTTCACACGAACTTAAATGATAAGGATAATGGCCGCATCTACACTGATGATGCTGAATACTGACTCAATTTTCTCAATACTTAGTTTAGTGTTGATAATTTCAGATTTCATACTTGTTTTTACAGTTATTTTGTCATTTGTGGGATGTGTAGGGCTCCTTTGGATTGTCCCACCAGCAGGCACTTGCTCAGGTTACGGCTCAGGCTGTGCAAGCTCAAGCCCAAAGTCATATTGGTCCGGAATACCCACCCTTATCAGCACCTCCTGCTGCATCTATACGACAGACTCCATCCTTTACCAACAATACAACCACACACCAGCAGTTGTCACCACCCATGCAAGAGCCTAATGTTATGAAAGATTCATCAGATTACTCTCATTCTGATCAGAGAACCCAACCTTTTTCCTTTGCTGTGGACAAACCTGCTGATGATGGGTACAATTGGCGGAAATATGGGCAGAAGCAGGTGAAGGGCAGTGAATATCCTCGAAGTTATTACAAATGTACTCATCCAAAGTGTCCAGTCAAGAAGAAGGTTGAACGCTCTCTTGAGGGACAGGTAACTGAGATTATCTATAAGGGGCAGCACAATCATCCACCACCTCAATCCAATAAGCGTGCCAAAGATGCTGGAAATCCAAATGGAACCTCAAAACTTCAGGGTTACTCTGATCTGGGTTCCGAAGGTCAGACTGGAAATTTGAACAAAATGGTGCCTACTGGGTCACTTTCAATGAAGGATCTGGAATCTAGCCAAACTGCACCTGAACAATTGTCTGGATCAAGTGACAGTGAGGAAGGTGTTGATGCTGAGACCAGAGTAGATGGAAGGGATGAAGACGAACCTGAATTAAAGAGAAGGTTTCCTTTTTTACCTAATCATGAGGGATTTTGTATTGGTGGTTTTAATTTATCAGGTTATTAAGATTGTTATCCTTGTGTATGATGTTGTGCAGGAACACAGAGGTCAGTGTTTCCGAACAAACTTCATCCCACCGTACGGTTACAGAACCAAGGATCATTGTTCAAACAACCAGTGAAGTCGATCTTTTAGATGATGGCTATAGGTGGCGCAAGTATGGCCAGAAGGTTGTTAAAGGAAATCCTTATCCAAGGTAACACTCTTTTTGCTGGTGCATGTATCATTATAATTTATAAATAAATGCGTGGTGCTAGCAACATTTTAGGGGACTCAAAGGATATGGTATACTTATTTATGCTGCACGGTAGGTTTTGTAACCAACTACCCACTGAACCACAAGATTCATATGCCGCATTCAATGCAAGACCATTCTATGGGTTCACTTTGGCCACAATCGGAAAATCCTTTTGAATGGATGTCCTTAATTGGTATTAACATTTCCGTGTTCTATTGTAGTCTTCCTTTAAACAAAGTTTTGTTTCACCCCTCAACTCCATAGAGGATTTTTGCCTACTCTCAATTTTCATTGCTGTTTGCACCCACCCTAAACCTGTTTTCAAAGTCTTTGTTTAACTGTTGAAAGTTGCATTTTTGGTGATGGCCTTAGATGCAGTTGTAATTATCTACGAAAGCAGGCTGTTGTTTTCATGTTTTGGCTCCCCGTTGTTTGTCCAACAATATTATAAGAATGTCGTGACAGAAACGTATCATTGTAGAAATAAAGTATATCTAATTTGAATATTTAGCAAATGTCAACAACATGTAAGTGATCATTATCACAACAGAAAATCAGGTTGAAAAGCACAATAATCCTTGATTAAGCCCCATCATGGATCTCTCTCTGTGTCTGACACAACCCCCCCCCAAAAAAAAAAAAAAAAAAAACACACCTACCCCACTCACCCACATAGAAAGTAACTTCACCTCCGTACTGCTACTAATGCAAGAGCTGCTTCACGCTAAATAATGCATATCATGTGGATGCCATTTGTGTTTTCTATCCATTTGGTATTTTGCTTTAATGGTTTTGTGCAGTAATGAATGATTTGCTTGCTCTTCATCCTGTCCATGGTTAGTATCAATCCTTAAGCCTCTTGGTGCTTTGCAGGAGCTATTACAAGTGCACAAGCCCTGGATGCAATGTACGAAAGCATGTCGAGAGAGCTGCGAGTGACCCTAAGGCTGTCGTGACAACATACGAGGGAAAACATACTCATGACGTACCAGCAGCTAGAAATAGCAGCCACAACACAGCTAACAATTCTGTGTCAGAGTCGAACCCACACAATGCTGTAACTGATAGACATGCATTGTTCAAAAGAACAGAATTTGGGAACCACGAGCAACAGCGTGTGGCTCTTCTGCGGTTTAAAGAAGAACAAATTACATAGTTTCTAAAAGTTTCAGACACGGAAAGATAACGAAGATGACAGCGCGAATTACACAAATATTTTTACATTTGGTTAGATATATTCTCATGCTTGAGCCTGAAGTTTTGATCCATACAACTGCTAAAACACATACAAAATAGGAATCATCTGTTAGTCCAAAACAAAAGGCTGTTGGAATGAATAATCAAGTGTTGCTTGTAAATTACTTTTCATAGCATAATGGTTGTTGATGTTATTATGTGCATTCTTTTGTAAATGCAATACGGAAGTAATGTATCTGAAATGATGGTTTTCTTTTGCATACAAAATCAAAGACAGGTATGTGGAAATTCTTAGTTTTCTTTTGGTATTCACCCCCCTGTGATACTGTTTGTTTATCTTTTACTGGTTCTGAGATTTTGTAAGTGGTTTGGCTAGGAAGATGCAGGTGTTATGTTATAGCTTTTAGGCAGTGAATAATTATGTAGTTGCGAGTGTTCATCCATCCAAATAAAATACGGGTTTGGGGTTCGGGTTCGGGAACTATCAACTCTAGAGGCACAAATTTACAGGATTGCCTCAAGTCCAACCCCTTACGGTGTGGGTTGTCAATTGCATGTTATGGTGCAATTTTTCTCTAATTAAGTCATGTAATTTTGCTCGAGATAAAGTTGCGTCCTTAGCGTAACACTAAGATTGATCTATTATGACTAAAATATCAAGAGTTTCAATCCTAAAAATAATTTTTCAAGCAGCAAGACTAAAATTATGTACTCTTTTTATTTCTTTACATCGTATAACGACGAAAATTTCGTGCACTAAAATTTTCTTTTTACAACAGTTTGGAATGTCTCTTCTATCATGGCTTGTACAGCCACAATGTGCCCATGTTAGGTCACGGATTTCAATCACGTGATCGGCAAGAGCAGCAGGCATAAAGAAAGACAAGATTAATAATGGAAAAGTAGTCACATGGGGTCATATCCTAGCCTTGTTTCATCAAGGATGCTTGTAATTGAAGATATAGATAAAATGCTCATATATATTACATGCCAGGCCCCACCCAAAAAGATAGAAAATATTATATGTAATGGTTACACTATATTAACATTGTCACATGATTTAATAATTCACTAATAAGTAAATAAATAAGTAAGCGAGTCCCACAAAATTAAATAACCATTCAAAATTCAAAATCTTTCGCAACACGAATTTCTTGAAAAACAAAGTCATGGGCACGGAGGTTCGGGACCAAACCTACTATTCCAAAAGTACTCATCCATAAATCGGTTACTAGTACAAATAACATAAAAAAATATAACTAAAGTTTATGTAATATATAACCACCTCTATATAAAGTTATGGGTTCTATTTTATTTAATTTTTCATTTTCTTATTGGACGATTACCCCAAATAATAATACTTACATGGTGTAAATGTTACACCTAATATTTACTCCCAAAATGGGGCCCTAGATATTTACTCCCAAAATGTTACACCTAATAATATATTTTAATTATTAAATTTTAAATTATTTTCACAATTCAATTAAATAATTTGCACCAATTAACCAACACAATAATACTAAAAATGTTAATAATTTAACACATTAACAGTGTTTCTAGTTTGTAGTTTTTGCACATATTAATAATGTTAAAAATTTAACATACACGCGCACACACACACATATATATGCGGTTAGAATCAGGTAGGAAGACAAAATTTTTATGATTATTTCACATTCATATCCGATTTTTGTGAAATATTAAAATTTCTTCCATTGGCCTACCTAATTTTTTATGATAGCCGATCAATAAGGTAAGGTAAAGTCAGAATATTCGGGTAATCTAAAATTTAAACACACCTAAATCATAAGAGGATTTATCTCTTATGAATATCTTAATTCTGACGTAATTGATCTGTTTTCGGCTAAATAAAGAAAAATTAGTGGAAGTGCCAAAAAAAAAAGGAGGATGGGTGAGATCACTCATAAGCTCTAGCAAATCAAAAAGTATCATAATTAAGATTCCTTCTTTAAAATTGGTAGTTCGTTGAAATAGCACTGCTGATTCATTAATGGAGGGGTCATTTTCAGACACAAAAAACCCAGCTACCATCGCGTAAGTTCCATTCTTGCAAGATATAAACACTAGGATGATGTAACATACGAAAATTATAATTTTTTTAAATTAAATTATAATTTTTTTGGATATGTTATAATTTTAAAGGACACGTTCGATCCTAAATTGTTATAATCGATCATAAAATAATTATAAGTTTTAAAAGTCAATTTGTAATTTTTAAAATTGAGGTTACAATTAATTTGAGTTATTCACAATTAACGATAAATTATTGTGATCGATTATGAATAACTTAAATCAATTATAATTTTACCTTTAAAAAATTTAATTTAATTTTTAAAAATAATAACTTTCGTTACGAGACCAAATTTTTTTTGTACCTTGTACTAGACTATATACTATATACAACTCCTATGAGAACTTGACTATAATACTGAATAAATAAATTTAGAATTGTACTTCTAATTTTTATTATTTTAATTAGTGTTTTTATAATTTTTGTCGGTTATTCTATAACAAAAAAATTTATTACTTTTGTAAGTGATTTAATACTTTTACGAGTGTTTTCACTACCGTGTTTGTATTTTTATCACATTTGTGCAAACTATTTTTACCATTTTTTTTACACAAAAAAATTTATCACATTTATAGACGTTTTTATTATATTTATAGGTGTTTTTATTATATTTGTAAATGTTTTTATTACCGTTGTAATAATTATGTTTATAATTTTTTAAGATATCACAAAAGTAATAAAAAAGACTTGTAATAAAAGAAGTGGCGAATTCTACGGTACCAACTTGGGTACGGTGGGTACCGTACCATCAATTACTATTTTTTCAGTAAAGTTACAACTTATATGAGAGAAGTTACAACTGCTCAAGGGGATCGTGATCGATCATGAACTTCCCTAAACAGTTGTAACTTTTCTCTTATAAGTTGTAATTTAACCTTTAAAAATTGTAATTCGGTATCAATCTTAATCTATTATGATCGATCATAACTTTTAAAATTATAACTTATACCTCAAAAAAATTATAACTTAACATTAAATAGTTATAATCAACGATACAGTACCACCTTCGTTACTGTAAAATTCCCCTAAAAAAACCAATGACACTTTACGCTTAAACATAATACAAGAAAAAAAATTCAAAATTAGAATTTTAAAAAAAATAATTAATAAATTAAAAAACAAAACAACGTTGGAGGCAAAAATCTCATACTAAAATTTAAAGGTCAGAGAGCAATACAGTCATTAATCTTCCCAATACCATTAGTGGGCAAAACTCAAAAAATAATAGCACATACTAAGTGATATTATATAAACTCATGTACATGGATTTTGGTGAATTGTAGCTAGAGGGTCAATATTGCAATCCGAAAAATAGTGTCACACAAAAAAAAAGAAGTAAATAAACAAGGTATTACTAGACACCATGTACTATTTTTTCTAATCCCACCTACTTATACCACCATTATCTTTCAAACAACACATGAGTAGTCCAAGTGTGAGAATAGTCTAGGGCGAACCATAAACTAGGATATCTTATGCTCGATTCTCTTTGGTATCTCTTTGATTTAAAAAATGCATGTGGTCTATGAGTGGTTGCAAATATTCGAGATTTATTCTAATGAGTTTAATGGATAGCCTCATAAACACGTCCTATACCAATTTGGCCCATGCATTAATAGGTTTTGGGGTTTTAGGCCAACTCGTGGGTTGTTGGCTCCTTTTAAGGCTTATAATTAAGAAAATTTAAATGTTGGTTCTCCTATGTGGATTTATTTGATAATAAGTCTATTAAAAAATTTGTTTAATATTAAATACATTTTTATCTCTGTTGTTCAAAATACTCATGTTTAAGTAAAACAAATTTAAAAATTAACAACTCCTAAATTTTAGAAGTTTGACTAACATTAAAATCCTCTATCTCATATCTATTTATATCCATATATAGAATATAAATATTTATTTACCTCTTTCATATATATATATATGTACACATACATATAGAAAACTTAAATACAAAAAATAATAATATTCAAAAAAAAAATAATAATAACATTGAATATATTATTCGAAAAAATAACAGCAATAACATGTTCAACAAAAATAGCAACATGCCTAATAGAAACAGTAACATGCTCAAAAAAACAGTAACATGGTGTATATATATATATAGAGAGAGAGGGAGAGAGAGAGAGTATTAGTTGTTTTTTGAATTTGAATTTCAAATTTATGTAAAAAAATTTATTGGCATATCTTTATTGATAGTGAATTAAGAGATAATAATTCTCAAGTAAGGAAACTAATTTAAAGTTATTTTTAAGAAAGGTATTTTGAAGTTTTAAAAAAATAGTGGACTTAGCTATTTATTAGTAAGATTAAAAACAGACTTATCTTCAAATAAATTTTTTTAATGATCTAAACTCATTATAAGTCATTTAAAGATGACTTAACCCAGTTTATACTTATAATTTAGGGGCCAATTGTTTGATGGGTTTGAGCGAGTTTGGAATGGTGGGTTTAATTTAAGTAAAATAGTTTAATAGACCATTTAATTTAATGTTTGGTTAAGACTTTTAAACCCGAAATTCATATCCCAACCAATAACTAGTCCAAAAAATTAAATCCGTGAATATGGGTTTCAACAAACCCATGGAGGGAGGGTTTGAAATCAACTAACCTTGGATATAATGGTAAAATGACTTTTCTATCCCTAATATATCCAAATTACAAAAAGATTAGATAAGGTATTTTAGTCAATTATATGACAAATATTTAGTTATAATTGTGATTAGTCCGTGAATCCCACATATGTTTATTCTACTTACCAAATAAAGGATTGAAGAGAATTTATGAATAAATTCCATGTAAAAAAAAAAAGGCTTTGGGTTTGCAAGTGTTTGTTAAAACTAATCCAATCCATTCATTCTAAAATCATCCAACACATGCACTTACGTTAGTGGGTTACAAGTAATTTTTGGGCATCATAAACTAAGATACCACCTTTCCCTTGGTATTAAAATTACATATATATTACAAGTGGAGTGTGTTAAAATCCTATGTATAAGATAAGTAAATAAAAAATGCCCATAAGTAGGAGAGTGATTTTTAACATTCAAATAGTGTATATGATTGTATTAAAGAGTTTTAATATAATACAATTCTTTAATTCCTTCCTTAATATGACAATTAAATGACCTTATATAATAATATGCATGAATATAAACATTTTGTTCATAATTCTAAGCTTCATGTATATTTTTGTTGTAAAAGAGTAATGAAACAAGTTTTTTATTTTTTGTCGAAATTAGTTTTCGCTTTTAAAAAATTGTTACCAAACAATACATTGTTTACGAGCTAATTTAGTGAAATTGAAAGTCCCAAATACATGTGATTTTTTTTATAATAATTCTAAAATTTTACCTTATAATTGTGTGCGTATATGTGAGATAGGAGAAAGACAAATGCGCAAAAAAATTATTGATTAAAAATAATAAAATAAGATAAAATTATTTAAAAAAATTATATATATTACATTCTTATTAGTCGAAAATAAAATGTATAATACCAAAAAAAAAAAGTACATGGGACCCATTCACATTATGAACACACAATCACATGATGAATAATAATAACCTTCTTGAGTGCACTTTGAATTAAACCCTAACAATAACAAATTATAAACAAGTAGATAATTCAAAATTGACTTTGGTGATCTTTATATATATATACTCCAGTTTTACCAAGTCCTGCACATCTGACAAGAAGGTGCCAAAATGAATCTTCACAGGCTTTTGTGATAGAACCAATGAGGCCTCTATCTACTCTGCTGTCTACACTACACAACACAACATCCCTTCCCCCACCAACTCTTTTCTCAATGTTGTGTCATTCTCTCTCCTATTATTCAATAACTGAGTATTATTGTTATTTTTTTTTTTGGTAGGGCCTTATTCATTAGTAACAGGGACCCTACATTTACAAGATGTGGCATATTTGACAATTCCAACACGCCCCCCCCCCTCTTCCTCCTTTCTTTCCATTTGCTTATTTTCCATTCTGATTTTTTTTTTAATTGTACCTAATGTTGGTTAAAAACTAAATTTAACATATTGGCCATCTTTTATTGTTTTAATGATCTTTGTAGTGGATGTGTGGATCGACTATGTATTTTTTGGACTCGTGATAGTAGTGGGTTTGGTATCGAGTCCTAATAATTATTTTATAAATTACGTGTATTTAGTTAACCGTGAAAGTTTAACTATTCGAATTAGTCTGAAGAATTATAGTTAGCATCTGCCACATATCACCCCCCCCCCCCCCCCAATATGATCAAGAATGGTAAGATGAGTGTGTTTTAGTGGGTAACTAAGAGAGACTTTGTATAATTCTAAGAAACAAATAATAATTTTGTTTTTTTGATTTTAAAGAGTTTTAAAGTTCTTGCAAAACATCCCAATAAAGAGTTACATGGGGTTTTATGAAGGGACTAGTTATAACTCGTACCTGGATAAAACGTAAAATTTGAGTCCCAAAAAATTGATTCAATTATATTAAATAAAATTTTTTCTTTCCTTTCTTTTTTTTATTATGTCATTTAAAATTAATTTTTATCTATTATTTTCTTAAAAATATCGACAAGTTTTTTTCAAAATATTAATTTGACAATATTTTTTCAATATGTGTATACTATAGTATATGGACAATGTCCGTAATAAAAATTGTATTAAATTAAATTAATTGAACATATAATAGAAATGGATGATGTAATATTTTGGAAGAGGGAAAAGTAAGTAAGGGATAAATATTCAAGTTGCTAATTGATGTTTTCTGCAAGGAAAAAACAGTCTCAAACCTATTTATTATTCAATGGTTATAGGCACAGATACAAGACACATGGCTTGGTTCTTAGATCAGAATTTATATAATTCTGGCATCAACCACCACTGTTTTAATAAGAGTAAGAATTGAAAAAATGAGCAAGATTTTATATTGGTTAGGTCTCTTGTCTAGTGCTTCCAATTTCCAAATACATTTTCTTTTCTTTTCTTTTTTTTAATTAAAGATAAATACAGAATTAAGTATAAAAATTCAACTACTTACTCAACTTCAAAGCATAGCACAAAAACCCATGAAGGCCAATAGGTCAAATTCTAAACATCACCTCTAAAAGAGTTTAAATAGGTGAGAACTTATGGATTGAGAGTTTTATTATTTCAAAAATTGCCCCAATTGTATACTATTTGAACTGATGACAATAATTTAGATCTTGAGTTTTATATGACCAAGCAAGATGTGTAGAATTAGATTTCATCGATTCTTCACTAATTGGTTCATTCTATCAAATTGTTTCTGGTGGATTGAAATTTCACATCAAATTTCTTGTCAAATAATACAATACAATCATAAGTATTCAATGTTAATGAGATTTGATGACATCTACTAATATAAAACTTTACATAAATTTGGAAAGTTGGTGACTGTAATATTGCTAATGAAAATTTGAAAAATCAAGTCCACATATGGGTCATCCACCCCTAACTGCCTATCAGGGATAAAAAAAACAAAAAATGGTGGATGAGAGAGAGAGAGAGGATGACAAAAGGAGTACAAGAGGCATTTAAAGGCTTTAAAGGGGGTTGTTAGCAATTACAAAAAGAGCAGCAAACAACTGGCTGTTGGCCTGTTGCACTGACCTGTGACACATGATTTGTCCATGGAAAAAGATAATGCTAGAAACAAGGGAAAAAAGTAAAGGCAGGTTGCAAGGTAATTAAAGGCTTGGAAAGCAAAACCAGTCAAGCAGTGCCAGACCCCCCCCCCCCCCCCCCCCCCCCCTCTCTCTCTATATCTCCCTCAGTTGCAGATGCTTGCCCTGTAAAATGCTTTGCAAGAAACAAGAAAAACCCCATTTCAGCTCTCTCTCTCTAGGTGGACCATGGTTGACTGAACCAGACAAAGCTCCTACCCATTGTCCATACCCTCCTCCCTCCACAACCCATTACCATCATTTATTTTCTCACACCTTGAGCTCTTTTTGATACCTTTTGTTTCCTTTTTTTTTTTTTTTTTTCATTCGGAAAAGATAATGGTTAATGGGCATGCAAGAATTGTTTGGTTGCTGCTACAATGAATCAGTGATCGCAATCTTTGCCCTGAAAATGAGGGAAAGTGAGAGAAGAACTTTCATAAAAAGAAAATAGAAGGTGAACCAAGTGCTCTTGCTTCATACATTTCTTGCAATTTTTTTCCATGCTGTAACATACATTCAGAAAATGAGGAAGCATGGATGGCAACTTCCCTACCATCCTCTCCAGGTCTCCCTCCCTTTCCCTCCCTTTCCCTTCATCTCTTTTCTCTCTATATTTCTAGGTAAGTTTTACATATGTGTAGGTTCTATTTCCAATTTTAATTTGCTCTGTACAGGTGGTAGCTGTTGCTGTATTTCTGGCATTGGGGTTTGCTTTCTATGTGTTCTTTGCCCCTTTTGTTGGGAGAAAAATGTTTCAATATATCGTGATGGGGATTTATACTCCTCTGGTAAGGCATTCCACATTTTCCCTATATTTTTAAATGTATTATATGTTTTGTTACTGGGCTGAAGAACTGAGATCTGATCTTTCTCTGCTTGTTGGGTTTCTGATATGGTTTTGTTTCTACACTTCTGATTGAGTTGGATTTTATACCACCAACTATTTTCTTTTCTCTAAAATGGGATTCTTTCCTGATCTGGGCTTTTATTTATTTTTTTCTCCCTTCGTTAAACTTAAGAGATTATTCAAGTTAGTCAGGAATCTGTCACTTTAGCAGATAATGGCAAATGGGTTGCTTGTCTTTTAGCTTTTTGTTGCAAACCCTTGGAACCACTAATTTCACTCTCCAAATTTCCAGTCATCCTCCGAAAAATTGGTTTTTGTCCCTTGTATGGGGAAAGTCATGAGCTTGGTTTTAATCTTTGGGTTAGAGTTGACAGTGTTGGTGGATCATACCTCCATGCCTTTAGTGTTGAGATATTAAAATGATTGGATCTCTATGCTGCTTGTTTAAAATCCTATATACCCAAGTAATAAGATTTTTCAGAGATATATTAATTCAGGACAGCCATTACCCCCTCTCTATAGCTGTTTTCTGGACATTTATTGCACTCTGATGACAGAAAGCTAATATGTTGTTTCATACTCGATGCTCCTTTTGTAGCTTTCTTCAAGAAGTGTAGCTTTTCTCTTTTCATTGGAGAAATTCAAATTTTATGTTGACAATGAAGGGTTATTTTGAAAGGAATTGAGATCGCTCTCAGACAGTTTCTGTCAGTAATAATAGTTGATATCTTGTCTGAATATTCAAGAAACCAATAGGTGTGTAAACTGCAATCGGACAAAATTATGATGTGATCTAATGCAATCCTTAATTCTTATGGTACACTGTTGTAGTTGAACAAAAGTTACAGGGCCTAGAGTTTCCCAATAGAGTGTGATTTTTATATTAGTAATTGAGCTGATATCTAGGAGCATTTGATATTTCTCGATCAGGATTATTGGAAACGTTGGTCAAACAATATTGTGTGGGCTTCGGAAATTGATCTGTATTCTACAATCTACTTGGTTCGAGTTATGTGACTATGCCAACTGTTTTTTCAGAGTATTTGGAGGTGTTTGTAGCAAATTTATCCTTTTTTTTTTAATTTTTATAGGAGATTGATCCAAAAAATGGACGTCTGAACAAAATATTAAATTTGAGCTTCTATCATAAAACCTGTTTTCCATACAAGACATACCTTGAAATGTAAGAAGAGAAAGTTGAATTGAACTGTGTAGTGATGGATATTGGCTGTATTACAAACTTATGGGCTTGTATTGTTGTTCACTTGAATCACTAGAAGTTGAACTCTAGAACCCCAGGGGAACAAAATGGAAGCTCTAGTTGCAAGTATTTTGTAGTAAGTAATTTTTGCCTACCACAATGCATAATCATGTTGGGTGCCTTTTTCTGACCATTGTTGAGTACTGTATCCAGCTGAAAATTCACTCAACAACACAGTGACATGGACTTAGAGAGAATTTTGTTTGGAAAGTCTATTCTGGGATCTTCAACTCTTTGCCTTTGAAAATTTATATTCATTTTATGCACGTAGTACTTAATTCAGTCACACCATTTAGGAATAGGCTTCATTTACTGTCCCCAAAATTGAGTGTATTGTATAGGCCTAGGTAATGAAATACTTACCATACCTTTGTTCCATCTAGAGGCCAAGAATAAAACAGGTAATGTTGTTTCATAAAGAAGGTGAGCGATTGACACAAACTTATCCTCCCCTCTCCATGTTTGTATTAACAAATTCTTTCCCATCCTGAGTGCTGCTATTTTCTGAATGGTACATCATTGACATATCATTTCTTCTCAGATTGTATGTGCCTTTGGCCTGTATATTTGGTGTGCGGCAGCTGATCCAGCAGATGCAGGTGTCTTTAAGTCCAAAAAGTATCTTAATATTCCAGAAGACAAAAAGGATATCCGACTCAAGGAATCTAAACTAGGTGGGGACTCAACATCGTCAATACATGATGCAAATGCTGCAACAACTGAAGGGAAACCTATTCCACAAGGCATGAAAGACATGGATGCAAAATCAGATGGTCATACTACTGAAATTGATAAGAATGCATCATCTCACCAGAAATCTTGTTTTTTGCCCCTGTTGGCTTTCTTCCCTTGTGCTTTCCTGTGGAAATGCTCGAGTTCACATGAGGAATCTTCTGAGCAACAAATTAGCGAAGATGGCATGTTCTACTGTAGTCTCTGTGAAGTGGAGGTATGTGTTAATCCATACATGCATAGCAATATACAGCCTGGGGTTACTAAGATGTAAAATTTCTGTTACTCCCCTCCAAAATTCATGCAATTTGTCAGAAAGCCTAAGTTGTCCCCCTTGGTACTTTTTGTTCACCCTCTTAATTGGACAGCATGGAGTTCAAGCCCCCCCCCCCCCTTTTCCGCAGAAGGGAGGAGGGGGATGGGGGGGGGGGGGTGGGGCGTCTTCCCCAACTAACCCACCCACTCACACATCCACTTTGAATTTCTAGATCCATCCCTTTTATTGAAATAGTAGTCACAAATGCTTGTTGTATTCTAAGATAAAGGTGGTATTATGATTTCCATGGCATAACATTCAGAAGCATCCTCTGTGCCATTTAATGGATTCCATCAAGAATATTCCACCAAAAGGAAACCTGATTGCATGTCACATGGACTGTATGTCTCCAAATGCGGAATAGAGCTACATAATCCTAAGATCAGACGCGCAGATTATGACGATCAAATGATTGCCATCTTGCAGGTGTTCAAGTACAGCAAGCATTGCAGAGTTTGTGACAAATGTGTTGACTGTTTTGATCATCACTGCAGGGTATTTAAGGATCTGGATTTGGTGGAAGTTATCTTTATTTTTTGACAAGACCTTTAATGCCTTATCTCATTCTGGTTTTTTGCAGTGGCTCAACAATTGTATAGGCAAAAGGAACTATAGAAAGTTTTTCACCCTCATGGTTTCTGCCCTTCTCCTGGTAAGAACAGGCCTTCATCATTTTCCTTGTAAGCTTCCGATTGGACTGGCATATTTCGAATGCATTCTTGTTAGTTGTGTGCCTTTCCTCGAGTTTGGTTGAATTTTTGATGCAATGTCCAAAATTTCTTCTATGGTGTATACACACCACCACTTGCATAAGCTCCTACTTTAATCTTCATTCCTCAAGGATGACTACATATATGCCATCTTCCAAAGCAGTTACTGCAATCCCGTCATCTCTTACAATTCTTATGGTTTCTTCTCTTATGCTGTTGAGTTTTGTCATCAACATTGGCTTCCAAGGCCTATTCATGATTCCTGAAAGCTTTATAGCTCTTCTTCAACTGTCCAATATATTTGCTTCTGAATAAAGACGTGCCAGAACCTGAAGATCACAGCAAAGAGTAGGCATTTTATTTTCAAGTCCTTTTTCCATTTATTTGATTATTGACAGGTCTATACATGGTTTGTGCACCTTGGACTTGAGATTGCAGCTTATACTTCAGTGGTCAATTGGAATCCTAGTATTGATATGCTGTTTTCTTGAGCGCAAGAGATACTCTATGGACATCACCTCCAAGTTAGGAAGCAGTTTCTCTCTGGTGCCCTTTGTTATCGTGGTGGTGAGTGGTTTACTCAATTTCTTATCCTTTTAGATTGGATGTTGTTTCCTCAGCTGTTCAACTTTTTTCGACAGGTTTCCTATGCTGGTCAACCTTGTGAAGCTTTTGTTGACTTAACAAGAGCACATCGATAATCAAGTCATTTGTCACTATAGTTTTTTTCTGCCCTCATAGCTAACATTATACGATTTTACATGTGACAGGCAGTGTGCACCATATTGGCCATGATTGCAACCCTACCACTTGCTCAACTTTTCTTCTTTCATGTTCTTCTCATAAAGAAGGTAAGCTTGGATACCATCAACTGCTACATGTAATTTCCTTTTCCTTGACGAATTTTTTCTTATTGAATTTCACTTCACTTATTCTTTTGATAGAGTTTTTCTTTGGCATCTTTTTAATTTTTGTTTCATTTAGGAGTAGTGAATAAATTTAAACCTCCAATTCATCCTTTTGGTCTCTCGCAGTTCCCTGATCCCGCATGTAAAAAACAATTCCCAGGGTAAAATCATGGGTTTGGCCCCAAAAAATACTGCTTGCACCCAAGTCCTCTTAACATTTGAAGTGGTTCCTGGCCAGCTAAAAACATCACTAAAATTAAAGCAAATGATTTGTCAAAAAGCTAACAATATCTACACTTGAATGGCAGGGAATTAGCACATATGATTACATCATAGCTTTGAGGGAGCAAGAACAAGGAATTGGAGGTCAGCAAAGTCCCCAGATGTCACCCGCTAGCTCTCTTACTGGTTTAAGCAGTGCAAGCTCTTTTAATACTTTCCATAGAGGATCATGGTGTACACCTCCACGCCTGTTTCTTGAAGATCAGGTATATGGTTATTCTGTGTTATGGATCAAAATTATAAGCTGACCAGTAGTAGTTGGCGTGTTTTTCTTTTTGAAGAAGTCGCTCTGCTTTTCAAGCACATTTCATCATTGCCTTGAAAATACATGGTTTGGTTGTTCCCCAAAACAGATGCATTTTGATTCTGGTTTATAATATCTGAAGGTGGTCTAGGTTGGTTTGTCTGACGTACAATTATTCCAGTTTAAACTTTTTAGAATTCACCTGTAATTTGATCTTGCTATGATAAGGTTATGTTGAAGGATAGTTTAACCCGCGCAACACAAGTGCCATAGAGATGACAATGGTTTGCCTTTACATGTCACTGCAAGGGTTTTGGGAGGTCATGATACGGTAGGTCCAGGAGGGAGGTGCAAGCTGATCTTGCTGTCACGAAGTTCTGCCATTATTTTGCCAAACACCTCAGTTTTCTGGTGCATCGATGATAACATATCATCATAAATACCGAGTCAAACGTGTTGGCCATAGGAAAATATTTTCAGTGGTGGTTGAAACTTGAAACACAAACTCTAGATGTTCTTGAAAACTCTAGTTCTAATCTCAACTTCTGCAACAATAAGTTAAAATTGTTGGTTTTGGTGTTAATTTTGCTGCAATATCTGGTTTTGTTGCAGTTTGATGTAGTTCCTCCAGACACTGGATCTGTTAGTTCAAGAGGAAAAAAGACCACGGTGGATGAGCCTATCAAGAAAAAGAACCCTGCAGCTGTAAAAATCAGTCCATGGGCATTGGCACGATTGAATCCAGAGGAGGTTTCAAAAGCTGCTGCAGAAGCAAGAAAAAAGTCCAAAATCCTGCAGCCTGTTGCCAGACGAGAAGTCCCTTATGGGCTTGCAATGGGTGATACCTTCGGCAGCAGTGGACACCGAATGATCCCAAGGCCTGATAATAACAGAAGGCGATCCAGTAAGCGGGTTGGCTTCCCTGCTGAGCTACCACTTGAACCCCTGACCAAAGTTTCAAGTGAAGCCAGTGAAAACAACGGAAATATGATTATCGAGACATCAACCAGTTTAGCACCTCTTCAGCTCGAAGCACGGAGTGCTTTCCGAACTAGCCGAGCTATGTCCAGCTCAGCTGGAATTGTTGCTTCTTCTTCTCCTGAAAGCAGTTTAGACTCTCCTGATCTTCACCCATTCCGAGTCTCCTCATCAGGAGCTGAAGAGGCACGAAGACTCACCGGGTTATCAGCTGCTGGTATGGCTGCTCAGAAGGGCATCCCACTGTCAAGGTCAACTAGCGATGGATATGAAGCGTCTGGTGGGGAAGATAGTGACCAAGTTCCATCTAGGACTGTCCAGAGGTCAACAAACTGGAGTAACCTTCTCTTCCGCTCTGACCAGGATGAGAGGGTTGCTAGATTGAAGGCATTATCCTCGTCTAGCCAAGCCAAAAGCAGAAAACTTTGAACAACTGAACTTTACAGCATTCATATACTTCAGCAAGGAGTAAATTGCCCAAGATTTTTTCATTTGTTGGCGTAGATTTTGTACAAGGATCGATTGAGCATCAACTGGTGGGGGCTGATTTCATTGGTTCATGACATTTAACATATTGGATCAAGGTTGCTTGGTGAAGACTGATGATAACCACAAGGGCTGTGAAGTTCTACAAAGAGACATTTTTTACTTGAGCTTCCTTGCAGATGGCAAGCTTTGCTTCTGTTTATGCACACATAACCTCTGTTGTCTATCTGTGGGTTTCTGGGCAGTGCTACAGAAAATCCATAATAGCTTTTTTCTTGTAACCTCTCTTCATGATATGTTGGGGGTATTAATGGGTTCTTTCCAGTTTCTAAAATGCCCTCTGGAAGAAGGTAGATTCAACAGAGAGAGAGAGAGAGAGAGAGAGGCTCTGGCAATCCCTATTGATTTCTGATCATTCTATGTTGTCACTGATTTTCTTCTTCATTGGTAGACTTTGACAATGTTGATAAGTTTATTTCAGAATGTTTAATCTACTATTTCTGGCTGGTTTAGTTCATATTCGAGAGCTGACACGACATTCTTCCGTTAAGAGAACCATGTTTAAGCAATACCAAAACATCTATTTTGAGTATTAAAATTATAGACCAATGTTATTTAGAATTGTACATACATAAAAGCATAACAATGGTTGAGATTAATTCAATCATCATCTAATATTACAAAAGTCATTCTAAAAAACAATTTTTGGCTAAATTTTTACTATTATAGAGTGTTTTCAGACATGAGATTATTGTTAGTAAAATTAGAATGTAAACTTGAAACACTTTCACAATATACATTGAAATCGTAGGATAAATCTCTATAATGGACTGGAAACCACTGCTTTCCCTATGCCAAATGGTTTTTGAGGGGTCAACAATCTCATAAAATGCCGACTCAACTGCTGTTGCACTGTGGCTTCTCCTCGAGCAATTCCTATGTAAAAGAATTCATGGCTCGTCAGGCCGGGAAGACAGAATGAGCGGAAACTACGAAGTACGAGCCAATTCAAGCTCAGGAATTGTCAATAGGCACCGATATGTCACGGCCCGCCTTATAGAAGGATCTAGAGAGCCCTAGAGTGGGGGTTTCAAAAAACTCTAGGTCTTCTCTCCAAGGAACATTCAAAAAACTCTAGGTCTTCTCTCCAAGGAACATTCTAAATAAAACTATAGAGAGACAAAGAGAAGGCCAGAAACAACTCGAGTATCTTAAGAGTATTCTTGTATTTGTAAATATCTTAGATATTTTTTTGAAACATTTTAGAGATAGTCTAGACGTAGAACACTTGAATACATCTAAGTCATCCATTAAGACCAAGAGCCTATAAATAAGGGGCGAGTTTCATTTGCACTCACCAAGTCATTTGCACTCACTAAGTAAACAAGCTACCAAATCTCAAGTTGTATTCCTCGACCAATGTACTTCTACATTCCCCAAAACAAATTCTCTCATTATGCCTTCTCTAACAACTTTGTTGAAATAAGCATAACAGAATTTGATAAATCTTATGAATAGGAAGCTAACATTTGAGAATTAAAAATTCTCTTTGATATGAAAGCAGTAAAATCGAAATTTTCCCTCAATGGGTTTTCTAACAAATTGGGTGTTTTCTTGGTGTGTTACAGAGAACCTTATTTATAAGGAAAGATTCAGCTAGCTGTTACTATTCAGCAAAATATCCTCAACTCCCCAATATTATCTCAACTTCACCAGTATTTCCTCAACCCTCTACAGTCAAAGTAAGCTAATTATACTCCAAGCAAGATTGACTAGTCTTTCCTTACTTGAGGGTCCCTCTAACCAAGTCACCCATACTAACTTGTAAAGATCCACCCCAAATATCAAATTTTATCAAGGTAATATATGTATGCATGCATCATTATAAAATAATATTTAATACATAATAATTTCACCAAAAATGCATATATGATAAATCATGAATAATACACTACTTAACCAATGGATTAGAGTTTTATATATTTCGGATTTGACCACCAACCATGACTTAATTAACATCGAGGGATTTTAGTCACATATTCCAACATCTCCCACTTGGTTACAAGCCCGAGATATTCATTCATAACTTAAACCCATAGCAACAACATGTCGTTTAAATTCTTCGGTTCTAATAGGTTTTGTCAATGGGTCTGCAACCATATCTTTTTTACAAAGATAGTCAATAGTAACATGTTCCTTTTGTATTATATCACTTATATAGTGATATTGAAACTTAATATGCTTATCTTTAGGCCCAATTTCTCCATTTTTAATGGTTTTTATCGCAGCCTCATTATGACAAAAAATATTAATAGACATATTATTTACACAGGTAAGCTTTAAATCAGTTAGAAACCATTTGAACTATACGGCTTCGGAGATAGTCATACTACAAGCAATGTATTTAACTTTGTAAAGGAAATGCCTCAAGCCAATATGCTGTGAGGAGATATTCATTTATATACAGAAGATACATAGTAGTTGTACAATTACAAATATGGAAACAAATATACAAGGAAAACAAACTGCTACAATTGTGGAGAATCACTAATATCTTGGTCATAATCATTGAGTCAAGTTGTCCTCTAATATCCCCCTCAAAGTTGGCATGTTAGAAAAAGGTAAAACGCACAACTTGCCACGATCCAATAAAAACTATAATTTGGCCACCGTTTTTGTGAAAACATCAGCCAGTTGTAGGTGTAAGGGGACAAAGTTGAGACTAATAACTCTTTGAGCAACAAGTTCTCGAACAAAATGATAGTCAATATCAATATGTTTGGAGCGAGATTTGGTGACCGGGTTGGAAGCAATGAATATGGCACTATTGTTGTCGCATAAGAGTCTCGGAGGAGAGGGAGGATGATCTGGAGTTCTCGAAGAAGTTGAAGTGTCCATGAAAGTTCTACAGCAACAAAGGCAAGAGCACGGTACTCGGCCTCAAGACTAGAGCATGCAACGGTAGTTTACTTTTTAGAGCACCATGAAATTAAGTTGCGGCCAAGATAAACAGCAAATTTGGTTGTTGAACGCTGAGTGACGGGACAACCAACCCAATCGGCATTAGAATAGCCGAGCAAAGTTTGAGAGGAATCCCATGAGAGTTGTAGGCCATAATGGTAGGTTCCTTTGACATAGCGTAAAATAGGCTTCAGGGCTCTAAAATGATCAACGGTGGGAGCATGCATATATTGACATATAGAGTTAACACCATACGATAAATCTGTCTACGTAAGAGTCAAATATTGTAATGCGCCAGCTAGAGAACGAAACTGTGTAGCATCTGAATAGGAAGTATGAGAATCGATTAGATGAGATCCCACCAAAAAAGGAGTTGAGATAGGCTTGCAATCGACTATTTCTGCTCGAGTCAACAGATCAAGCGC